CGGTCAAACGAAACCTGCTGAGCACAACGCGCTTAGTTTTTCCTCGATTGGTCCAATAGTTTGTGAGATATGACAAAATGTTGGAAAAAAATCATTTTTGCACATTGCAGCAAATAGTGTTGTTCGGTCAAACGGAACCTGCTGAGCACAACGCGCTTAGTTTCTGCTCGATTGGTCCAATAGTTCGTGAGATATGACAAAATGTTGAAAAAACTTATTTTTGCAATTTCGAGAATAACAGCGCTATTCGGTCAAACGCAACCTGCTGAGCACAACGCGCTGAGTTGCTCGATTGGTCCAATAGCTCGTGAGATATGACAAAATGTTGAAAAAACTTATTTTTGCAATTTCGAGAATAACAGCGCTATTCGGTCAAACGCAACCTGCTGAGCACAACGCGCTGAGTTTCAGCTCGATTGGTCCAATAGTTCGTGAGATATGACAAAATGTTGAAAACACTTATTTTTGGAATTTCGAGAAAAACAGCGCTATTCGGTCAAACGCAACCTGCTGAGCACAACGCGCTTAGTTTTTGCTCGATTGGTCCAATATTTCGTGAGATATGACAAAATGTTGAAAAAACTTATTTTTGCAATTTCGAGAATAACAGCGCTATTCGGTCAAACGCAACCTGTTGAGCACAACGCTCTGAGTTTCAGCTCGATTGATCCAATAGCTCGTGAGATATGACAAAATGTTGAAAAAACTTATTTTTGCAATTTCGAGAATAACAGCGCTATTCGGTCAAACGCAACCTGCTGAGCACAACGCGCTGAGTTTCAGCTCGATTGGTTCAATAGTTCGTGAGATATGACAAAATGTTGGAAAAAACGTATTTTTGCACATTGCAGCAAATAGTGCTATTCGGTCAAACGCAACCTGGTGAGCACAACGCGCTGAGTTTCAGCTAGATTGGTTCAAAAGTTCGTGAGATATGACAAAATGTTGGAAAAAATTTATTTTTGCACATTGCAGCAAATAGTGCTTTCGGTCAAACGCAACCTGCTGAGCACAACGCGCTGAGTTTCAGCTCGATTGGTCCAATAGTTCGTGAGATATGACAAAATGTTGAAAAAACTTATTTTTGCAATTTCGAGAATAACAGCGCTATTCGGTCAAACGCAACCTGCTGAGCACAACGCGCTGAGTTTCAGCTCGATTGGTTCAATAGTTCGTGAGATATGACAAAATGTTGAAAAAAACTTATTTTTGCACATTGCTGCAAATAGTGCTATTCGGTCAAACGCAACCTGCTGAGCACAACGCGCTGATTTTCAGTTCGATTGGTCGAATTGTTCGTGAGATATGACAAAATGTTGAAAAAAATTTATTTTTGAAAATTGCAGCAAATAGTGCTATTCGGTCAAACGCAACCTGCTGAGCACAACGCGCTGAGTTTCAGCTCGATTGGTGCAATAGTTCGTGAGATACGACAAAATGTTGGAAAAAACTTATTTTTGCACATTGCAGCAAATAGTGCTATTCGGTCAAACGCAACCTGCTGAGCACAGCGCGCTGAGTTTCAGCTCGATTGGTTCAATAGTTCGTGAGATATGACAAAATGTTGGAAAAAACTTATTTTTGCACATTGCAGCAAATACTGCTATTCGGTCCAACGCAACCTGCTGAGCACAACGCGCTGAGTTTCAGCTCGATTGGTGCAATAGTTCGTGAGATATGACAAAATGTTAGAAAAAACTTATTTTTGCACATTGCAACAAATAGTGCTATTCGGTCAAACGCAACCTGCTGAGCACAACGCGCTGAGTTTCAGCTCGATTGGTGCAATAGTTCGTGAGATATGACAAAATGTTGAAAAAACTTATTTTTGCAATTTCGAGAATAACAACGCTGTTCGGTCAAACGCAACCTGCTGAGCACAACGCGCTGAGTTTCAGCTCGATTGGTGCAATAGTTCGTGAGATATGACAAAATGTTGAAAAAACTTATTTTTGCAATTTCGAAAATAATAGCGCTATTCGGTCAAACGTACCTGCTGAGCACAACGCGCTGAGTTTCAGCTCGATTGGTGCAATAGTTCGTGAGATATGACAAAATGTTGAAAAAACTTATTTTTGCAATTTCGAGAATAACAACGTTATTCGATCAAACGAAACCTGCTGAGCACAACGCGCTGAGTGTCAGCTCGATTGGTCCAATAGTTCGTGAGATATGACAAAATGTTGGAAAAAATTTATTTTTGAAAATTGCAGCAAATAGTGCTATTCGGTCAAACGGAACCGGCTGAACACAACGCGCTGCGTTTCAGCTCGATTGGTGCAATAGTTCGTGAGATATGACAAAATGTTGAAAAAACTAATTTTTGGAATTTCGAGAATAACAGCGTTATTCGGTCAAACGCAACTTGCTGAGCAGAACGTGCTGAGTTTCAGCTCGATTGGTGCAATAGTTCGTGAGATATGACAAAATGTTGAAAAAACTTAATTTTGGAATTTCGAGAATAACAACGCTATTCGGTCAAACGTACCTGCTGAGCACAACGCGCTGAGTTTCAGCTCGATTGGTCCAATAGTTCGTGAGATATGACAAAAGGTTGAAAAAACTTATTTTTGCAATTTCGAGAATTACAACGCTATTCGGTCAAACGAAACCTGCTGAGCACAACGCGCTGAGTTTCAGCTCGATTGGTCCAATAGTTCGTGAGATATGACAAAATGTTGAAAAAACTTATTTTTGCAATTTCGAGAATAACAACGCTATTCGATCAAACGCAACCTGCTGAGCATAACGCGCTGAGTTTCAGCTCGATTGGTGCAATAGTTCGTGAGATATGACAAAATGTTGAAAAAACTTATTTTTGCAATTTCGAGAATAACAGCGCTATTCGGTCAAACGAAACCTGCTGAGCACAACGCGCAGAGTTTCAGCTCGATTGGTGCAATAGTTCGTGAGATATGACAAAATGTTGAAAAAACTTATTTTTGCAATTTCGAAAATAACAGCGCTATTCGGTCAAACGTACCTGCTGAGCACAACGCGCTGAGTTTCAGCTCGATTGGTTCAATAGTTCGTGAGATATGACAAAATGTTGAAAAAACTTATTTTTGCAATTTCGAGAATAACAGCGCTATTCGGTCAAACGTACCTGCTGAGCACAACGCGCTGAGTTTCAGCTCGATTGGTCGAATAGTTCGTGAGATATGACAAAATGTTGGAAAAAATTTATTTTTGAAAATTGCATCAAATAGTGCTATTCGGTCAAACGGAACCTGCTGAGCACAACGCGCTGAGTTTCAACTCGATTGGTGCAATAGTTCGTGAGATATGACAAAATGTTGAAAAACTTATTTTTGCAATTTGCAGCAAATAGTGCTATTCGGTCAAACGCAACCTGCTGAGCCCAACGCGCTGAGTTTCAACTCGATTGGGTCAATAGTTCGTGAGATATGACAAAATGTTGGAAAAAACTTATTTTTGCACATTGCAGCAAATATTGCTATTCGGTCAAACGCAACCTGCTGAGCACAACGCGCTGAGTTTCAGCTCGATTGCTTCAATAGTTCGTGAGATATGACAAAATGTTGGAAAAAATTTATTTTTGCACAGTGCGTCAAATATCACTCTATTCGATCAAACGCAGCCTGCTCAGCACAACGCGCTGAGTTTCAGCTCGATTGGTTCAATAGTTCGTGAGATATGACAAAATGTTGGAAAAAACTTATTTTTGCACATTGCAGCAAATAGTGCTATCCGGTCAAACGCAACCTGCTGAGCACAACGCGCTGAGTTCCAGCTCGATTGGTTCAATAGTTCGTGAGATATGACAAAATGTTGGAAAAAACTTATTTTTGCACATTGCAGCAAATAGCACTCTATTCGGTCAAACGCAACCTGCTGAGCACAACGCGCTGAGTTTCAGCTCGATTGGTTCAATAGTTCGTGAGATATGACAAAATGTTGGAAAAAACTTATTTTGCACATTGCAGCAAATAGTGCTATTCGGTCAAACGCAACCTGCTGAGAACAACGCGCTGAGTTTCAGCTCGATTGGTTCAATAGTTCGTGAGATATAACGAAATGTTGGAAAAAACTTATTTTTGCACAGTGCAGCAAATAGCACTCTATTCGGTCAAACGCAACCTGCTGAGCAGAACGCGCTGAGTTTCAGCTCGATTGGTTCAATAGTTCGTGAGATATGACAAAATGTTGGAAAAAACTTATTCTTGCACAGTGCAGCAAATAGCACTCTATCACAGGGGGTCCAACTAACAGCTGTGTTATGAATAAAACATATTAATTAAACGTAATATGAATAAAACATCATAACGTAATATTGCACTTACTTGTATAAATCATAAGAGCTTGCATTTTAATACAGTGAATAGCTTCAAAAACTTGCTTCGTTCCAAAGACTTCAAATATGGCGAATAAATTGACAAAACGATAATATTACATGACGTTCCAACGAAAATAACAGAAAGGATTGCGGGCGCGAACGGAAAGGCGAGGAAAGAAATAAATAGAAGGGATGAAACAAATATCACGTGACTTTTTTAAATGCTTCTACACTATCCGTTTAAGCTTTTTGTGGTATTTTTAAGGCTCATTCGATGTTCTCTTATATGAACAATCATAGTCATTACCAAAAAAGCACTGATCAATCTAAGTTTGTGTGAGTTATAACAGCGAACATTCTTGGCCGTTTTCGCGATATGTGTTCCATAAGTAGCCTGTTCTCGTGACGTAATAATAATTCCGACTTCAATCTTCGGCTATTGCTCGGCGTGTGATTATAACTTCGTGAAAGATTCGGTGCATTTTTTGGCGCGAAATCATACAGTATCGAAAGTCAGTTTTACAAGAGCGAACAGTAGAGAGGAATTTGAAAGGTTTTTGTTTAATATCGTATTAAAAATGTAAGTATCTGGTTTTTATCACCGTATTGATAGTTGGAGAGTTTACTTAATACGGAACTATAACGTCTATAACCAATTTTATTTAGGGAAATACACGCTTTGAATGTAGAACAGGTCACTGTTATGAACCTTGCAATGAGTGGGCACAATGTGTTTATTGGTGGCAAACCTGGAACTGGAAAAACGTACACTGTTAAACGGGTGGTCAACAGTTTGAAAAATATGCGTAATGTAAAAGTTTCGTGTACGACTGGAATGGCTTGTTCGCTTTACGAAGAAGCGATGACAATTCATTCATTTTCTGGAATGAAGAATGCAAGATTGGATGTTGAGTCGCTTGTCACAGGAATAATGAGTCAAGAGTCAGGATGTACGCATAAAAGATGGGTAGAAACCGATGTGCTTATTATCGACGAAGTTTCACAATTAAGTGCAAAAAACTTTGAGATCATCAATATTTTGGCTCAAAGAGTTAGAGGCGTTCAAAAACTGTTTGGAGGGTTACAACTTATATGTGCTGGAGATTTTTTTCAGCTACCCCCAATTAAAAGTGATGTAGATGAGGGAAAATATTGTTTTGAGAGTCCATTATGGAAGCAAGTGTTTGGCCATTCTGTTATGCTGGAGAAAGTCTATCGGCAGGACCCGAAAGAGAAGCAGTTTTTAAATCTTCTTGATGAATTTGCTATGGGGGAATGTTCTGATGAATCTTTGGCTTACCTGAGAAATGAACTATGTGACAAACAGTTGGACTCTAAAGACTTTGGCGTTGCTTTTATCCCTCGTATATTCTGTACCAATTTTGATGCGACCTTCTTTAATATGAACGAACTTGATAAACTGCCAGGAGAAAGGAAAGTTTACAAATCAGTAGATACGTGCAGTGAGGAAATTCTCAATAAAGTAACAATAGCAGAACGGGAACTTATCTTGAAAGTTGGGGCAAAAGTCATGTTGTTGTATAATGTTGCAACTAAACTTACTAATGGTTTAAGGGGAATAGTTGTTAAGTTGGAGGAAGATGGGCCAACAGTTAATTTCTCCACGGTTGGTATAACATGCAAACTTGGCAAAAGTTCTTGGTTTGCATATAAATCCAGTACCAGTAATTGTGTTGTTGGACAGAGAGAGCAGTTCCCATTAAAGTTGGCATGGGGAATTACAGCTCACAAATCACAGGGACAAACCCTACCTGCTGCATACATTCACAGTGGTAAAGAATTTGTAGCTGGTCAGTTGTATGTAGCAGCATCAAGAGTATCTTCACAAAAAGGTGTATCAGTATTGGGTTTCAATCCTACCCGTCTGGTGAGAGCAGACAATAGAGTTATTGACTTCTACCAAACAATTTGTTGCACCCAGCCATCATCTGATCATCATTGTTGTTGGAATAAGGACATCAATTTTGAGC